ACGGTATTGTTGAAGTTACGTTCGTTCGTTACAGTGTTGTTTTAGCGCGAGTATTGAGATTAAGTGTATCGCAGAGTTGTATTCGGAAAGAATAAACCAGTTTTATTAAGTAAAGACTTGTGTCGTTAAAATTTCAGTTGGAACGAAGTTACGGAAAAATCAATTAACAAACGGAGACGTAACAAATCGTTATATTAAGGCCTATTATCTTTTTACACCCCACCTTCTTTATATAGTCCCTTAAGGATTTTCAAGAATTAGAAGAATTTATAATAATAGTATTTTGGCCACACTAATTAGTAACATCCATTGCCAACAACGCGTTTCGCGCAATCCATAGCTCTTGAGGTCGAATGGAATACAATAAACAAAGATGCAGTTGGAACACTATTTATATGAGCAATTTGTTATAACAACCATTGTTATGGTTTATGTTATGGCGAATATAGTGACTTAAAGAACTAAATAAAGAATGTAGTACTTAAAAATATAACAGGCCAGATTAGGCCTAATACTAGCGTCTTATTACAAGTATAAGACAACCAAATATTTATCATGACATTAAACTGTAATACAATAATATTCTTAAACAGTAGAAATCAAGTGTCTCCTGATAAAGCCGTCAGGTGAAACATTGAGGAAATAAAAAGTTTTTACTGGATACTGACTATTTCTTTTAATTAAACAATACTGTTAACCATTCACAGTGTTAAAAGGTGAAAACAGTTTCATTATTGTTTCGTATATGATGTCACAATATTAATTAGTCTATGTTTTCCAAGTCAGTGTGCAAATAAGTTTCATTATGTCAGCTGCCCTATTATAAGATATAAGACGAAGCGTTGGTTTTAAAATATAATTAAACACTTTTCTGCAGTTGAAGAGCGTTTTCCCCACAAGTGTGACAAGCATTTCACATATTATTTAGATACTAAGAATTTATTGAACCATTGTTGATGTATTATATTTGTTTTAATTGTTCTTTTCCCATAGTAACATAAATGATGTAGACTTTAAACCCAATGTTGTAAAGCGTTCATTATTAAGCTCGTCAAATTTTTATTCTAGCATGACTTTAGAACTCACT